TTCTTCACCCCTTTCTCTTGGCAAAAGTTCACTTACATGTGGTCTCTATTGTAATAAGATAAATTTCAAAATAAAATCAACATACAATAAAACCAAGATCTTAACAACTTGATGCCATTGAAACAACTACGCATTATGCTTGAAAATAAAGATAAAATTGCAAGAAACAAAAGGAAGAGTGCTGGAGATTACCTCAACTGGGCTTATTACACCCCTGACGGAGTTACCACCATCCGATGGTGCGAGATCAACGGTCTAGCTTTAATCTCGAACTGGGAACATAAATTTCGACCACGCTACACCAATGGAACATGAACCCCTTTGATCATAAATTCAAACTGTAAGTGAATTCTCTTAGCAACCTAGTTTGAGAGAGATGGATTCTCTTTTTGTTAAACCCTAAAACCCTTAGCCATAAATCCATATTTGAGAGATAGGAGGGAAGAACTTCATAACCTAAACCCTTAGATTTTTTCACAATGTGGGAGAGAGAGATGAAACATGAGAGAGATAAATTTTCTTAAGAGAGAGAGATAGAAAGATAAGGTGTAGAGATTTTTTTTGGTAGAGAAAATCTATTTTTATAGGCTTTGAATAAGATTAGGGTTTCTTAGGGTTTTCTTTGGCTTGCCTCTTCTTGTGAGATTGAACATAAATCGTCGATCAAGGGTGACTTGTGGGGTGAGAGATCTGAGTCATCCATTCCATAGATAGGCCATCAATATTGTAGAAGGTGCACGAACCATTATCCCCCTTTCCTAAACCATTTTATCATCAATAGAAATTAAACAAATTAAATCTAATCAAAATATTGTGCATACCATAAAATAGCATAAGTCTACTTAATCTTTCTATAAAATCTTTAAAAAATATATCAAGTCAATATCTTCCAACCATATGGTCACATGCCATATCACCAAAAAATAGGAAAGATAATAAGGGTGGGGCGTGCCACCCAAGGGAGGCACTCATGGGCCCCACCTTCTAAAAATATGGCGGGTCCATGTGCACAATGGGCCCCCATGATATTTTTATATATTTAAGATTAATAAAAAGATTTTAGAATATTATTTGAATATTTAAACATTGGATTTTATAAATCCAAAAAGTATAAATAAAATATCAAGGGGTTTATAAAAAGTCAAATAATAATATTAAAATAATTTTCATCATAAAACAAACACAATTAAATTAATTTGATGGGAAAATGATCAATATGGTTTAGGAATTAACAATCATGGGGCACTCCACCTTCAACTGTGGACTACAGACCACACTTGCTTTATTAGACCGACCTAGTGTTTCCCATGACCCACAGTCCAAGTAGGGGCTCATTAGCGGGTCACCAAATTCCGGCCGATGAGCTAAGGGATCGCAATCCCAGTTTGTCGATTTCAGGTCCTCCCTTAGAGACAAGTCAAGGTCACCAAGACATTATGCGACCACAGCTCTATGACGCATAAGGGTATTTCTCACACATGCATATACTTCACCCTAAAAGGTGGATTTCTGGTTTTCTCGAACGATCTATCGATATACATGTTGCGGGATGGTACATGGATGAAGTTTTGGCCCCTATCTCTGTAGGCCACTATCACACACAAGGTTCACCCAGTCCCTCGGTTGACTCATCCGAGCATATTTTCGGACCTCATCAAGGGCTAACCCATTAGAACCCTTTTCGGTTTGTTCTTTATGCCCAGGTAATATGGATTTTTCCCAACCGTTTGGCTTAGATCATCAAGCACAGTCCGGTATCTTTAAATATCGTTTGCTTAATATGACCCACGAGGGACCACACTCCCACTGAGTTCATGTTCCAATCATTTCATTTTACAAGTACTCATAATGCCTTTAAAGGCCACATAAACCCAACACAAACAACATAAACCCTAAGATACATATATTCTACCGGGCTTTTGGGTAGTAGCATGATATGACATAGTATTGCAATAGTAACATCTTAACCCATCCAGCCCAACTCTTCAATCTTGGGGTATTATCAATTCTAAACGGTCTGGCAACGATAATAGGAAGGTGACAATGCAAAATGTTTTCTGTCATTCAGTTTTTTTACTTTTTAATCATGAAGGGGCTAGTTGGTAAAGTCCACCTATCCATTCAATTTTTGTTTGATATACCAATATATTTAATTTTTGAAGAGTGAGATTTAAGTAGGGGTGGCAATGGACTGGGATCCGACCAGGGACCCGAGGGGTAGACCCGATTCGGGTCTGGGTATGGGTTCAAAAATTTGACCCGATGGATCGGGTCTGGGTCATATAGTTAAATAAATAGATATTTTAATTTTTGAGTCCGGTCTGGCTCCCAGTCCCATATCATTTTTTCGGGTCCAGGTCACTTCGGTGATTTTGAAAGTGAATCCCAAGAGTTTAGATTGAGAAAATACTATTAAGTGGATCTTTTGCCGGAGGGAGTAATTGTACAATGTGCAATATACCCACCACATTAAGGAAATACATGCAGATGTATGCATGTAGCCCTTTACTTAATGGTATGTGATAATGTGTTTTTCTAAGATTTTTTGCACTAAATTCCACATAACTTTTTGAAAAATTTATCAAAAAAGCACTTACGTCAGTTACTATTTAACATCTTATCCTTTTTATTTTTTATCTAATTTCAAAAATCTTATCATTGGACGCACAAGCATATGTTAGAAAGCTGGTAAATGTTTTGAAATGGTTGAAATGTTAAATATTTGATGTTTCAAGTATGTTTTGATAAATTGCTGTCTAGAATTGTACAGATAATACAACAACTCTAATCATGAAAATTGAAGGTTGGGATTTGTGTGAGATGGAGCTGACCTCTTGATGTATTGCTCTTGTTCAACACAGTGGCCTTGCCTTCTGTTGGGTTTCTCTGATTTTCTTTCCTGTCTTCCTTCTCCTCCTCCTATCCTTTTTGGGTCCATTTTTTTGCAGCAACCAATTGAAGATTCCATCTGCCAATCCAAAATATTTTTCTCCTTCCCTCTTTCTATGCCATTAGCACCACAATCACAAGCGCAAACCCAAAACCAAACCCTCCAAAGGAAATATCCACCAAATGTCATCCCCACTGATGACATTTCAATTTTCCACCCCTCTAACACTGCTATTGACCTCACAAGCCACTTCCAATGGTGGCCCACAAAGCCCTGGGTTGTTGGCAAAAGAAAAAGCATTGAAGCTGGGTCCCCTTTGGTATCATTCCTGAGAGGGAATTCCATGAAAGATTTAACACGGAAAGGAAACTGATCTGGCTAAGTCCAGTGGGTATGGCACCTGTGAGCTGATTTTGTAAAAGGAACAAGGATTCGAGCTGTTTTAGGGCCCCTATGGCCTCTGGTATGTGCCCTTGCAGATTGTTTCTTGACATGTTTAGTATGCAAAGGCCTTTGAGCCCTCCTATTTGGTCTGGTGTCTCCCCTTCTAATGCGTTGTTCGAAAGGTCAATGACCGTGAGGATGGTCAGGGTCTTTTGCAGCTGTAAATCCATACCCTTGATTCTCAGCGTGACCGTGGACTGATAATAGTATCGGTCAAACAAAGATCCATTGCCGTTTGCAGCGGAGTACGTATATTGTAGAATATGGGGTGAGTTGGTTTGGGAGACCACTGACATGGCCTTCAGGTTTTGGAGGAATTCTTTAGGAAAGGAGCCTGAAAAGTCGTTGCTTGATAGGTCTATGATCTGAAACATAGAGAAGGCAACCGACTTAGATTCTGGAATGGATCCGTCGAACCGGTTTGATCTCAGAACCATGACTCGGAGTTGGGTCAGGGAACCTAACCAATATGGGAAGGTCCCGAACAGCTTATTGTTCCCCAAATCCAGTATCTCCAGGTAACTGCAATTGCTCAATCATTGGGGAACTTCACCTTGAAATTCATCTCCATTGAGATTCAGGGTTCCAAGTTGACTGTGGGATGTGAAGCTATCAGGTATTGGGCCTTGCAATTTGTTTTTCCTCAGGTCGAGCACAGTCAGGCTCGTTATGGTGAAGAGGCATTCTGGAATGGAGCCATTGAGATTGTTAAGAGACATATCCAGTGCTTCCAGGTTCCTGGCATTGCAGATGGAGAAAGGAATTTTTCCAATGAGTTTGTTGCCTGAAAATGAGAGGATGCCGGTGAAATTCAGGAAAAGGCCAATATTTTCTGGGATTGTTGAGCTAAACAAGTTGTACGAGAAGTCCAAGAATTCGGCTCCGACGGGTAGCATGGGGGGCTATCTAGTTTATTCGAATGCACGACAAACTGGCAGATGGATTGGCCATATGGCTTTGGAGCTGGTTGTGCGAAAGTTTAAGGTAAACGAGGTTCTTCATATTGGGTTTATGTAGCCTTTAAGTTCTTAGGAGTGTGTTATTGTGGAGCATAAACTCATTGGGAGTGTGGTCCCTTGATGACCATACTAAGCAAATGATGTTTGCTGATACCGAACTGTGCTTGACGATCTAAGCCAGTTGGTTGAAAAACCTAAGGTATCTGGGCATAAAAAATAAACCGAAAAGGGTTTTTGGGTTAGCCCTTGATGAGGTCAGAGCTTATGCTTAGATGATTGAGCCGAGGGACTGTGTGACCCTTGTATGTGATGGTAGGCCTATAGAGACAGGGGTCAAAACCTCATCCATGTTCCATCACATAACACACATACAGATAGATCGTTCGGGAAAGCCAGATATCCACATTTAGGTGAAGCGTATGCATGTGAGAGAAATACCCCTATACGCTATAGAGTTGTGGTTGCATCAGGTCGAGGTGATCTTGACTCATCTCTAGAGGAGGATCTGTAATCCACAGACTGGGATTGCGACTCCTTTGCTCATCGACTAGACTTTGGTGACCCGCTATGAGCCCATGCTTAGACTGTGGGTCATGAGAAAAATTTAGTCGGTTCGATAAAGCAAGTGTGGTTTATAGTCCACAGTTGAAGGTAGAGTATCCTGTGATCGCTGATAAAATTCCTTAACCATATGGATCTATTTCCTATCATATTAATTTAATTGTATTCATTTTATTATATAAATTATTTTAGATTTATTATTTGAATTTTTATGAATATTTTAATATTTTATTTATGATTTTTTGAATTATAAATATGAAATTATTGATTTTACAAATTATATAAAATTCAAATAATGTTTAAATAAAATTTTCATGGAAGCCCATAGTGCATATGGGCCCACTGCGTGGCAAATGGGTGGGGGACCCACATATGCCACATATGGGTGGCACGCCCCACCCATTGCTCCCTTTGTTATTACTTTGATATCAAGTTTTGTAATTTTTAGAAAGTCCATCTTATAAGCATATGGTCAAATATTGTTTGAAAAATATTGACCACATCTTATCTTGATTATTGAAGAAATATCTTGACTTGATATTATTTAAATATTTTTATGGAAAATATGAGATGAATCATGCAATTTTATGGAATGCATTATATTTTAATAGATTTAACTTATTTAAATATATTGATGGGAAAAATGGTTTAAGAAAAGGGAGATAATGGTTCATGCACTTTTCATAATGTTGATGGCTCATCTATGGAATGGACGGCTCAAATCTCTCACCCCATAAGTCACGTTGATCAGCGGTCCATATTCAATCTCAATAAAGAAGCAAACTATGGGAAACCCTCAAGAAACCCGAGACCTAAATTTCACTATAAATAGAGGTGCTCTCCTCCATCTCTACGCACCTCTCTCTCTCTCCCATAAACTCTCACTCTCTCTTCCCTAGGGGCCATGCCTCTCTCTCTTTGCTCTCTGATTTTCTCTCTCTACTCTCTCTCTTTTTCTCTCTCTCCTAAAAAGACCCTAAGGGGTACGCCCCAACATAGAGACTCTCTCTCTCATTATTTTGGAGTTAGGGTTTTGTAGAGATTTAATGGTGGTTACCTAGTTTGGTCGAAATTAGCTTTTTCGATTCGAGATTGAAGCTAGACCGCTGATCTCATGCCATTGGATGTGGTGACTTGGTGTGGGGTATTAAAAGCCCGGTTGAAGTAATCTTCGACATCTTCTCTTTTATTTGTTTGTTTTTTTATTTTATATTCTCAAGCACATTATTAGGTTGTATGAATGGCATCAAGTAGTTGAAATTTATTTTATTGATGTGTTATTTTTTTTTTTTGGAATTTCTATTGTTTGTAGTAAGACTATCTGTGAGTGATCTTGTTGCCAAAATTATAAAAGGTGATTATTATTAAAAAAAAAAAATTGTATTTCCCCAACAAAAGATCACATAGGTCTTTCTTTCACTTCAAACCCCATAGCCAGTCCGATATTTGACCTTGAATTTGGTTATCAAATTCTCTCAGTTCCTTTTGAGCCTTGAGGAAATCGGGGAAGACAGATAGTTCGTTGGAATGCAATTTTAGTATGTGTAATTGAGGGAACGATTGATTTATGCTATCCATGGTATGGACTTCCAAAGCTGATTCTTGAGAAGTCAAGATTGGAAATATTTTCCATCCTTCAGAGGAAAGAATCAAGGTGAATGGTGCCACTGAACATGTTGGAGGAGAGCCATTGAGAGAAAACAAGGAAGCATGAATCTCTCCTGTCAAGCCATTTTCACTGAGGTCTAAGTACCGCAACCGGGACTGAGAGGCATGGAAATCTGGCAAGGAAGATTTAGGGGGTTGTGACTCAGGTCTAAGGTTAGTAGGCATGGCAAAGTGAAGAGAGAGAAAGAGACGAATCGATGATACCAGATAAAATAGTTTCCTCGGAGCTGGTCAAGTCGAGTTTTTCGACAAGTCCAGTAGAATAGTTGCAGGTTATACCCTCCCATGAGCAACAATCAGAGTTGGGTGTCTATGATTGAAGCCTAGGTTGGTTGAAATCTAAACCTTGCTTGAATTGGAGAAGGAATGTGCTTTGATTGTTTGCACATAAGGTAGCATTGGTTGTAGCTAGGAAGAGGATCAAGCAGTGAGAGATGACCCATATTAGCCATGCTATGTGATTCATTGGAGAAAACAGAGAAACGAGTTTGCTTGTGAGATCTATATTTCTTTTCATGAGAACCCTCTCTCTCTCTATTAGTGAATCTCGTTTCTGGGTTCAAACCAACTGTCATGAAAAAAGAGAGAGGGAGCGAGTGAAGTTTTTATAGAGATGAAGAGAGATTAGGAGAGTTGCCTACCATCACAACTTAAATATAGTGAAGTTGGGGTGGCAACAGGTCGAGTTGGGTTGAGTACACACCTGAACTAGGACTTGAAAAAATATTATGGGACCCAGACCTAGACCCGATTGGACCCGAGCCATAAATTAAAATATCTATGTACGTAACTACATTTAAATATATTTCATAAATCAAGACCCGAAAAAATATTATGGGACTCAGACACAGACCTGATTGGACCAAAACCCGAACCCGAATAGTATTTGGGTCCAAGATTTGGACCTGGACCCAAATCGGGTCTACACATCAAGTCCAAGTCTACTAAAGCAAGTTAGGTTGAAGGCTGGAATGTCATTTAGAAAAAAGGCTGACAATGTCTTTGATGGTCTGGGTCTCTAGGATTGTTAAATTCCACCTTTGATTCAAGGAAAGGACACAGTCCCTCGTAATACATTGTTAAAAAAGATACAGTCTCTCAATTGAGGGGTTGAATCAACTTATAAAATTACAAAAAGGGCTAAATGAAGACAAAATAGCTTTGGCAGTTTACTTTTAAGTTTTTATTTCAATTAGATGCGTCTTAATAAAAGTTAAAAAAGTTTCCAAGTTGCCCCTATTCGGAATTAGGAAGACTGAGTAATTAGGGGTATTTTGATAATTTTAACACCAAAACGGCCCTAACAGAATGACACAAGTACCCCTATGTTTTCAAGTTAATGAATAATTTATTTGGTATTTGAAATAAGGAAGAATGAGGGGTTTTTACCGGTTAGTAACCCTTATAACTCTTTGTTTCAAATACCAAACAAGTTTGTTCGTTTTTTTCTAACACAACCAGGGATACTTCTATTAATATGTGAACGCCTCTATGGAGGTAAAATAATCAAAGTGCCTTTAATTATTTAGTCTTCTCAACAACAAATATGGACAATTAAGAATTTTTTTTAAGAGCTGTTTGATTATAATTTGTGATCATATGACCTTTGTAAATGATTTTATAAGGAATTTCAGATATTTTCCCTCGAAAAAAACCACTTTTACTGGTATTAAGTGGATGCCGCGACGTGATTTGTAGAGAGAGAAGTGAAGTTTGGTGGGTGCTTCCTTCCTTCTAAATCATAAATAAGAGACTTGTTGGTTCTGTGAACCATTGGGCTTGCGTGCAGTGTACTATGTTCCCTAGAGGGTATACTATATCGACTCCCTCGAGTGAAGCGCTAACTTAAAAGTTTTTCCTTTTTTTGTTTGAAATTTTAAGATCTATCTAATTATAACTAGAGAATTATTTAAAAAATATATATATATTGAATTTTGAGTTCTTAAATATCTAAATCTCTCTCTATCTAAAAATTGGATGGTTCACATGCAATTTTAGAATGCCTTTTTTTTATAGAGAGAGAGAATTCTTTTATTTTTATAGAGTTGTTATCGGGTTCTACATATACATTCCCATAATTTGGGATCTAAAAGATATCCCTAGACCTGAGGGACTACATAAATAGTATACTCCCTAAAACTCTTTTGACGAAAGCAAAACGTGTTGGAGGTAGGGGTTGAGAATTGGGGTCATCGTCTTACGACGTGAGAGAGCCGTTGGAAATGACAATTAAATTAAAGTAGGGATCGCAAATGATTTGCGCATTTATCGGATCGTCTTAAATCCTTTAAATTTTACGACTCTAATTTTGCTCTTAATTTGATTTGGGGGGACATGTACTATGCTTCCTTACATTTACTCCCATAAGCAAAGTAGTTACTTGGGAGAAAATCATTCCCTCAAAAAATTGAATAGTTTCAATGCAATTTCAGGATGTCATGTCTCCAAAATTTGAGATCTAAAAGATATTCCAAGTGTAAGTTTTGCCCAAGGGAGTAGACAAATAGAATTATTCTCCCAGAGGTGGATTGTCTTTTGGTAATTGATATTTCAGATAAAGATTATATATAATGAGATCATTTACTTTTGATATAAAGAGGTCACAATTATTTACAACCATCTAAAAATATGATAGCTTGGATGTATCACAAAGTTCAAAAAAAAAATTTCTTGACCTTTGAACCTAGTCAATGAAAAAAAAATAGCCACTTAATCTCACATCCAATGGTCAAGATCAATTGTGAGTACAAATATATATATATATATATTTTTTAATCCTAAGGCGTATCCAAAATATTGGACCGCTATTATTTTTTTGGGGCCCTTGAATATTGGAAGAATTGGGCCGCACCATGCTTAGGACTATTTTGCTTTTATTTTTATTTGTTGTGTATGAAGTTATGAAGCAGACTAATATCTCTGATAGCTCTAACATTTCAACGACCCTATCTTCCCTTTTCTTGACTTTTCACCTGTTGCGTGGAAAAATGATAGCCATAACAACCCTGAGAAAG